TCACTAACCAGGGATCTCTACCTCCCAAGTCGCTAGGACTACAGGCTTGAGCCACTGTGCCTTCTGTTTTTCTATTTGTCTCCTCCTCCTCTTTCTGCATGAGGGCTCATGCTTGTATGCACGTGTGCACACACACTCTGGTGCTGCTTACATACAGGACCTCACACTCTTGCTAGGCTTTCTTGCTCGTGGCTGATGCTGTACCACTTGAGCCATGCCTCCAGTTTGGCATTTTACTGATTTGTTGGAGAGGGAATCTCATAGACTGCTGCTTTGACTATGGGCCTCAGGTCTCATTCTGAAGTAGCTGTAACTACAGGCATGAGCCACTAGCCCTCAGCTTAAATCTTATTAAATGTTTTATGCTGTTATTATAATGGTGATATACAAGACAGGCGCTCTGGCTCACACCTATCTTCCGAGCTACCCAGGAGGCTGCGATACGAAGATCGAGGTTCAAAGCCAGCCTGGGCAGGAAAAGTCCATGAGACTCTCATCTCCAGTTAACCACAGAAAACCAGAAGTGGCTTAAAGCGGCAGAGTGAGAACGGCCAGGAACAGTGCCCAGGTACTGAGTTCAAGCCCTATTACTGTTAGAAAAAAAAAAGTGGTTTACAGTAAGCATTTCATGTCAGTAAGCACGTTTCTTTCTGGACAATGTCAACCCTTCTTTTGCTCTCTCCATTTTTTCCTCCCATCCTCACCCATAAGTTGGAGAGGTCATTTTCAATATAGAGTAAACCTTTTTTCATGCAGGTCCTGGGGCTTGAACTCAGGGTCTGGGCACTGTCCCTGAGCTTTCATGCTCAAGGTTAGTGCTCTACCATCTGAACTGCAATTCTACTTCCAGCTTTTTGGTAGCTAACTGGAATCTCATAGACTCCCTTGTCCAGGCTGGCTTTGACCTTCGATCCTCAGATCTCAGGGTAGCTAAGATCCTGAGTAACCAGGATTACAGGAATGAGCCACTGGGGGGCTGGCAAAATCTTATTTCTTAACCATAAAAAGCCCATAGCAGGACTGGGAAGGTGGCTCAAGGGTAGAGTGCTTGCCTTGCGTGCACGAGGCCCTAGGTTCAATTTCTCAGCACCACATAAGCAATAAAAGCCGGAAGTGGTGCTGTGGCTCAAGCGGCTTGAGCTAGCCTTGAGCTGAAGAGCTGAGGGACAGCGCCCAGGCCCAGAGTTCAGGCCCCACAACCAAACAACAACAACAAAAAAGCCCCCAGGCATGGGATGGTCTCCAGGCACCATTGCCCACAGGGGCTCTGGGACCCAGGCTGTTTCCACTTTGTAACTCTGTCCCTTCCACCTGTGGCGTCATGGTTGCCAGAGAAGGGACACCGCACGAGGCCATATGGCTTGGATGGGTGCACGTCACCTCTGCCTTTTACTGACAGCAGCGGATCCCATGCCTCCTGCTGCCGGACAGTAGGTGGACAGGCGCTAAGGAAGGACCAAGACGGTCCGTGAGGGGCCCGTGCCTCTTCCCCACCCTTGCTTTCAGCTATGTTTAGAAACTGGGTATGTCTACATGCTGACACCACTGAGAAAACCAGAAAGCTGGGGCTTCCAGCAAGATGGCTGGTCCAGCCAAGCAATGCTCCGCAATTACAAATGTGCTGGGTCCTCCTTCTGTTTTGTTGGCTGGTACTAGGGGCCTCCCACTTGCCAGGCAGGAACTTTACCCTTGAACCACACCTTGGCCTCCCCTGCTTACTTTGCAGATTAGGTCTTGTGAATTTGCTTGGATTTTGGTCCTCCCGTGTCCCATGGCTTCCCAAATCACTGGGCCATACGCACAAGCCCTCAAACACAGCCTCTTTATTTTTTGTCAGTTGTGAGGTGTGAACTCAGGGCCTGGGTGCTACTTTGAGGTTTTTTGCTCATGGCTAGTGCTCACCACTTTGAGCCACAGCACCACTTCCGGTTTTCTGGTGATTAATTAGAGATAAGTCTCACAGACTTTCCTGACTGGGCTGGCTTTGAACCAAAATCCTCAGACTTCAGCCTCCTGAGTAGCTAGGGTGACAGGCGTGAGCCACCGGTGCCTGGCTCAAGTGCAGCTTTTGATTGAGGTAGATATAACTTTTTGCCAGGACTGGCCTCAGATCGTGATTCTTCTGACTTGTGCGTAGCTGAGATTATGGGTGTTTTGTTTTTTTTTTTGGGTGTGGTCGTGGGGCCTGAACTCTGGGCCTGGGCGCTGTCCCTCAGCTCTTCAGCTCAAGGCTAGCTCTCTACCACTTGAGCCACACCGCCACTTCCGGCTTTTTTTTTCTTTTTGCTTATGTGGTGCTGAGGAATCGAACCCAGGGCCTCAGGCATGCAAGGCGAGCGCTCTACCACTGAGCCACCTTCCCAGCCCCCTATGGGTGTTTTTGAGGGCACTTGAGTCTTAACACGGTGGAATGGCTGCAGAGCCTGAGGAGCTTGATTACGTAAAACCACAGAAGGCTGAGCATTCTACCTCACCCTGCCTTCCAGGTACTGTGATTTGATTCCCATCCAGGGACCTCTTTCTTAGTTGCAGGCTTATGAACACCATTAGGACAGAGATCTAGCAGTCTCCTCCTGGTCTCTCCCAAACACCCTGCTCCCTACTGTGCGTGCCTAAGCTCCGATTTCCCTGTAAACACAACGAGGAAGGAGGGTACTGGGTTTTCTGAGTTGAGACTCCATTTCCCCACGGCTTGCACCTCCAGGCGCAGGATGAAGTGTTCTTCTGTTGCTGCAAATCCCTTCTTGCTGAGTGTAATTTGTTTTTGCCACGTCCCACGCTACTTGCCTCATGGAGCCGCAATAGCCATTTTCTAACAGACACCTGGGCGTTTGGGCGGGAAGAGGCAGGGTGAGGTCTTTCCCAACCAGATCCGGCCTCACCCAAGCCCCACTCTGCCCCATGGCTCCTCGGACCTGGCTCCCCCTGCTCTGCCCCAGCCTGCTCCTAAATGTGTCCTAACGCACGGGAGGCATTTCCGCTGAGTGGGAGGTAGCACCTGGTGGCTCCTGAGGGTCACAGCTCCAGGGCTTCCCTCCGCCTCACTGGACTCTAGGAGCTGGCTGGAAGGACCCTTCACAAGCCACGCGGAGACCAGAGCACAGGCAAGCGCACACGCACGCGTGCGTGCATGCACACATGCAGCAGCAGCCTCTGCCAAGCGGCCCGAGCCCTGAGTGTGGCTCTTGCCACCTTTTAAGAGTCCAGAGCCGCCGAGGTGGTCAATATCCCCAGGTGCCCTGCTAATACCCAGGGTGAGGGGTCTCCTGCTGGGAGGCTGGAAGGGGTTCTGGGGCTCTGAGGGAGAGGGGCTCTGCAGAAGCACCAGGCGCTGCACGGGTGTCCGCCCCCCAACAGCGGCACGGGCGGGGGTGCGGGGGCTCTGCCGGAAACCACACCCGGTCCTGAAGAGAGCATGTCCCAAAAGCCCAGCCTTGCAGCACCCTGCAGGCCCAGCAGGTGGCGCTGCAGCAGCACTCTTCCCACAGCTTTAGAGCAGGAACCGGCGGGGTGAGCGGCCTGCCTCCTGGGATGCCCATGCGTGGTCTCCTCCCCACAACACTCGGGCAGCACGGCCTGCCCTCCCGCAGGGCCCAGACGCAGCTCCGGGAAAGGCTGTCTGCCAGCAGAGGGGCCCTGGGGCTGAGGGCAGGAGACGAGGGTTGAGCTCCTGTCCTGGGATCTGGGCTGGCCCAGAGCAAGGCCAGGCAGCAGGAGAAGCAGCCTAGCCCCTAGCATCTGCACGTAGCCACAGGGCTCATGATGGGCTCTGGGGCAGGCAAGGGCTGGCCCCGAGCCCTGGGCCCTGCTCCTCCCAGCCCACCGCTCCAGGCACTTCCTCAGGTCATGGCCAGCCACTGGGACGGGCTCTCAGCCCAGCCTGGGTGGGTGAGCCCTCCCGGGTCCCTCCTGGAGCCTTGTGCTCTGAGCCGCTGCCTGTCTTCATCCGGGGTTCTGTTTCAGCAGGATCTGGAGGGGTCACCGCGCACCGCCCCAGCCGGAGCTTCCCGCCCAGGCCGCCGGCCTGAGTTCACGCTTGTGAACATCAGAGCAGGCAGTGTCGGTGTCTCAGCCACACACACAGGCAGTGCCACTCCACACGCCTCTGCCTGTGTCAGACCTAACGCCGGGCGGGCAGCTGGAACTGGATCTGGGGCCGGCAGTGCCTGTGCATTAGCCTCTGAGCCAGGGTCTCCTCCAGGCCTTTGCTTCTGTCTGTGCCTGGGACCCTGCAGAAGCTCCCTCTCAAGGGCACCTGTGGCGACCCAGCAGATTCCCCTCTTCTGACATACGACACCCAGAGCCCCGGGGGGGGGCAGTGCTTGGGCGGCCAGGGTGTCCCCTCCCCAGCCCCCCTGGCCAGGGCTGCTTCTCCTGCAGGCACCCTGCTCCAGCGCTGCCCCAGCCAGCTGACCATACGCGACCAGAGCGACCGACGGCCACCAGGAAGCCACCTCCGGGCTGATGCTCGGCAGTGATGGGGCTGGCAGACCCGCCTGGGAGGCTTCCCACGGGGAGGGCTGTCCCCAGGGAAGAGCAAGTGTGACAAGGCTGTCTGTCTGTCCCCACTGAGGGCGCAGGCCAGCAGGATGCAGCCCTGAGCTCCCTGAGCTCCGTGCCGTCTCAGGAGGTGAGAGGCAGCAGACAGGGCTCAGCTGGGATGTGAGGCCCAAGATGCAGAGGCCTGCGGGGCCCAGGCCCAGCTCCACCTGTCCCCGGAGCCCTGAGCCCGCCGTGGAGGACGGGGAGGTGGCATCTGCTTTCCGTCTCCTCCGCCTCACACCCTCCCCTTGGGCCTGGAAGGCCCAGCCACAGAGAGCACAATTTCCTGCAGGCCGCAGTGTGTCTGGTCACAAGCTTCTCCTCCCATCCTGGAGTGCATCTGCAGACACCACACACACAGGGTGCCATGAGTTCTCAAACGCAGCAATGATGAGACACGGGGGCTGAGGAGAGCAGACCCGCCCGGCCCCGGGCCTGTGACCAGAGCGCAGGGGCTTCCGCCCTCGTCCCCGCACACAGACGTCTGAGCAGCAGGGGCGCCAGGGGCTCCAGGTCAGGGTCTGGCTGACTTGGGGCAGGCTGCGCCCCGGTCCTGCTGCTCAGGCCATGGTCTCATCAGCTCTCCGATCCGGAGGTCCTTCAGTTGTACCAGGTACTCCAGCTTCACCACCTTCATCTGCAAAAGCTTCAAAATCCACACAGGTTGGACACATGGAGTCTGCCTGAAGTGTCTGTCTGCCAGAGCCAGACCCCCAAGGCAGCTCAGGCCTCCAGGGCCGTGTCCAGCCCGCTGGAGGCAGGCCCAAAGGCGCTAAAGGGGAATGAGCCGGGGACCCCTGCAGGGCCTGCTCCCGTGGCAGCCGCACGCGGCCGGGGCAGGAGGAGCCCACTGCGTGAGCAGCACCCAGGGCCTAGGGGGTGCATCCAGGCTGACCAGTGCACTCACATCAGGGGCCCCAGCACTGCAGAAAGAGCCTCCCCCAGGGCCCAGTCTGGGCTGCAGCAGCCACAGGAGGGTCAGCTTAAGAAGACCTCACCCTCAGCCCTCCCGGGAGCACAACCTCCCATGTTCCCCAGTCTAGCAAGTGTCGAAAGAGCTGGATTAGGAGAGGCTGTCTGCCAAAAAGCTGTGCCATGCCAAGGCTAGCAGTGTGCCCGGGTCAGGGCGGGGTGTGTGTGTGTGTGTGTGTGTGTGTGTGGGTGTGGGTGTGTGTGTGGTGATCAGCAACATGCTGGGGGGGAGTGAGGTGATCAGCAGTGTGCCCAGGTCAGGGCGGTGTGTGTGTGTGTGTGTGTGTGTGTGTGTGTGTGTGTGTGTGTGTGTGTGAGGTGATCAGCAACGTGCTGAGATGGGGGGGTGATCAGCAGTGTGCCTGGGTCAGGGCGGTGTGTGTGTGTGTGTGTGAGGTGATCAGCAACGTGCTGAGATGGGGGGGGGATCAGCAGTGTGCCCGGGTCAGGGCGGGGTGTGTGTGTGTGTGTGTGTGTGTGTGTGTGTGTGGTGATCAGCAACATGCTGAGATGGAGGGGGGTGATCAGCAGTGTGCCTGGGTCAGGGCGGGGTGTGTGTGTGTGTGTGTGTGTGTGTGTGTGTGTGTGTGTGAGGTGATCAGCAACGTGCTGAGATGGGGGGGTGATCAGCAGTGTGCCTGGGTCAGGGCGGGGTGTGTGTGTGTGTGTGTGTGTGTGTGAGGTGATCAGCAACGTGCTGAGATGGGGGGGTGATCAGCAGTGTGCCTGGGTCAGGGCGGTGTGTGTGTGTGTGTGTGAGGTGATCAGCAACGTGCTGAGATGGGGGGGGGGATCAGCAGTGTGCCCGGGTCAGGGCGGGGTGTGTGTGTGTGTGTGTGTGTGTGTGTGTGTGTGTGTGGTGATCAGCAACATGCTGAGATGGAGGGGGGTGATCAGCAGTGTGCCTGGGTCAGGGCGGGTGTGTGTGTGTGTGTGTGTGTGTGTGTGTGTGTGTGTGTGTGAGGTGATCAGCAACGTGCTGAGATGGGGGGGTGATCAGCAGTGTGCCTGGGTCAGGGCGGGGTGTGTGTGTGTGTGTGTGTGTGTGTGTGTGTGTGTGTGTGTGTGTGAGGTGATCAGCAACGTGCTGAGATGGGGGGGTGATCAGCAGTGTGCCTGGGTCAGGGCGGGGTGTGTGTGTGTGTGTGTGTGTGTGTGTGTGTGTGTGTGGTGATCAGCAACATGCTGGGGGGTGTGAGGTGATCAGCAGGTGCCCAGGTCAGGGCGGGGTGTGGTGTGGCGTGTGTGAGGTGAGGTGATCAGCAGCGTGCTGAGATTGGGGGGGTGAGGTGATCAGCAGCATGCCTGGGTCAGGGCGGGGGGGGGCGGGGGGGGTGTGAGGTGATCATCAGCAGTGTGCTGAGATCAGTGGGGGTGGGGGGGTGAAGTGGGTAGCAGCGTGCCCAGACCAGGGTGGGGGTTGGGATCAGTCTGGCAGCAGACCTGGGGGCCATCCGTGACCCTGCCCCATGGCTGGCAGCAGACCTGGGGGGGCATCCGTGAGCCTGCCCCGTGGCTGGCAGCAGACCTGGGTGGGGGGGCCATCCGTAAGCCTGCCCCGTGGCTGGCAGCAGACCTGGGGGCCATCCGTGACCCTGCCCCGTGGCTGGCAGCAGACCTGGGGGCCATCTGTGAGCCTGCCCCGTGGCTGGCAGCAGACCTGGGTGGGGGGGCCATCCGTGAGCCTGCCCCATGGCTGGCAGCAGATCTGCCCTGTGGCTGGTCCCCACAGCCCCCAAGTGACCCCCTCCAGGAACACTGGGACAGACTAGAGGGGCAGGGCAGTCAGCGTCAGGATGCTGACCCTGCCTGTGCCGGGGGCACCTTCACGTGGCCAGGCCACGAGGCCCACCCTGCTGCCCACCACAGCTCCTCCTGTCGCTCCTCCGTCGTCTCCACCCACGGGACAGTGATTACGCAAGTGACATGCAGTGGTTGCCCTTGGTGGCAAGCCGAGCTATTTCCCCCTGGGTCTCAGATGAGAGTTCTGATTCGCTCTGTCAGCGTGTGAGCCGGAGTCACAGTAGGGACAAGAAGAGTGTGAGCGGCCGCTCTGCTCCTCCTCACCACTTCCTCTACACAGCTCAGCAAATGATCCCACTTTCCTGAGTTCTCAGAAAGACAGCTCATCGAGATTCAGGAACTGTGATGTCCGCAGTCTCCTCCAGCCCCTGAGAACTCAAGGCCCGTTTGTACAGCCTACAAACCAGTCCTGCTCTCTTGGATCCTGTACTGCAAGGTGTGTGGATGGGGAAAGAGTCGTGACGGGCTTTCTGCATGCATAAACACAAGTCCCAAGTGAAAACAGAACCAGGTGAAAACAACCCGGTGTAACACAGCCCAGTGTGTCCCTAGAGACCCAGGATTACACCACAGAGCCCCTTGTGTCCCTACCAGCCCAGGCCGACCCCACAGAACAACGTGTGCCCATCGGAGCAGCAGGCGTGCAGGACCGTGAGGCTGGCAGCAAATCTTGGGCCCTGGACCTCAGGCTGAGCACCAGTGGAGGGGAGCCGGAGGAGGCCTGAGAGGCGGGCAGAGCTCTCCGTGTGCACCCGCCCCATCCCCCCCAGGGGCTTGCCCAGCAAGGAGAGCACCTCTGTCCCGACCTGGGCCCAGGCCCACCCTGCTGTCTGCCTCCCCTGCACCGCAGGTCCCAGCCTGGGGCGTCCACCACCCAAGCGGGTGGTGGGACGGAGTGGGCTCTGTCCTTTTCTTTCCTGCTTCTGGGTCTCCCTGTCAGGACCGCCCTGCGCCCCCACCACCAACCCCACCCGGGTCAGACGGCTCTGCAGACAGACAGAGTGCAGTAAAGCTGGAGGCAGCGGTCCCTCCTTCCCCAGGCTGCAGCTGGGACTGCTCAGGCTCAGGACGGCCTCATTGTCTGCAGCCATACCTTGACGGTCTCCTGAAGAATGGACAGTGCCTGCTCTTTGTCCTCCAGCTGCTGCTGGACCCTGGCCAGGTGTTCCCAGGGCCCGACTGCTGGATCCCAGCTGAGAGGCAAACACCAGCATTTAGTTTAGGATAGAGGTCTTGGGAGGGAGAGGCAGGGCAGGGGCATGGGGAGGAGAGGCAAGGCAGGGGTGTGTGGAGGAGAGGCAGGGCAGGGGAGTGTGGGAGGAGGCGGGCAGGGGCGTGGGGGGAGGTGGGCAGGGGCATGGGGGGAGGCGGGCAGGGGCGTGGGGGGAGGAGGGCAGGGGTGGGGAGGAGAGGGAGGCAGGGGCGTGGGGGGAGGTGGGCAGGGGTGGGGAGGAGAGGGAGGCAGGGGCGTGGGGGGAGGCGGGCAGGGGCGTGGGGGGAGGTGGGCAGGGGTGGGGAGGAGAGGGAGGCAGGGGCGTGGGGGGAGGCGGGCAGGGGCGTGGGGGGAGGAGGGCAGGGGCGTGGGGGGAGGCGGGCAGGGGCGTGGGGGGAGGCGGGCAGGGGTGGGAAGGAGAGGGAGGCAGGGGCGTGGGGGGAGGAGGGCAGGGGTGGGAAGGAGAGGGAGGCAGGGGCGTGGGGGGAGGCGGGCAGGGGCGTGGGGGGAGGCGGGCAGGGGCGTGGGGGGAGGCGGGCAGGGGTGGGGAGGAGAGGGAGGCAGGGGCGTGGGGGGAGGCGGGCAGGGGCGTGGGGGGAGGCGGGCAGGGGCGTGGGGGGAGGCGGGCAGGGGTGGGAAGGAGAGGGAGGCAGGGGCGTGGGGGGGAGGCGGGCAGGGGCGTGGGGGGAGGAGGGCAGGGGTGGGGAGGAGAGGGAGGCAGGGGCGTGGGGGGAGGCGGGCAGGGGCGTGGGGGGAGGCGGGCAGGGGCGTGGGGGGAGGCGGGCAGGGGCGTGGGGGGAGGAGAGGGAGGCAGGGGCGTGGGGGGAGGCGGGCAGAGGTGGGGAGGAGAGGGAGGCAGGGGCGTGGGGGGAGGTGGGCAGGGGCGTGGGGGGAGGCGGGCAGGGGCGTGGGGGGAGGCGGGCAGGGGCGTGGGGGGAGGCGGGCAGGGGTGGGGAGGAGAGGGAGGCAGGGGCGTGGGGGGAGGCGGGCAGGGGTGGGAAGGAGAGGGAGGCAGGGGCGTGGGGGGGAGGCAGGCAGGGGCGTGGGGGGAGGAGGGCAGGGGTGGGAAGGAGAGGGAGGCAGGGGCGTGGGGGGAGGCGGGCAGGGGCGTGGGGGGAGGCGGGCAGGGGCGTGGGGGGAGGCGGGCAGGGGTGGGGAGGAGAGGGAGGCAGGGGCGTGGGGGGAGGAGGGCAGGGGTGGGGAGGAGAGGGAGGCAGGGGCGTGGGGGGAGGAGGGCAGGGGTGGGGAGGAGAGGGAGGCAGGGGCGTGGGGGGGAGGCGGGCAGGGGTGGGGAGGAGAGGGAGGCAGGGGCGTGGGGGGAGGAGGGCAGGGGTGGGGAGGAGAGGGAGGCAGGGGCGTGGGGGGAGGAGGGCAGGGGTGGGGAGGAGAGGGAGGCAGGGGCGTGGGGGGAGGCGGGCAGGGGCGTGGGGGGAGGCAGGGGCATGGGGGGAGGGGGGCAGGGGTGGGGAGGAGAGGGAGGCAGGGGCATGGGGGGAGGAGGGCAGGGGCGTGGGGGGAGGGGGGCAGGGGTGGGGAGGAGAGGGAGGCAGGGGCGTGGGGGGAGGAGAGGGAGGCAGGGGCATGGGGGGAGGCGGGCAGGGGCGTGGGGGGAGGCGGGCAGGGGTGGGGAGGAGAGGGAGGCAGGGGCGTGGGGGGAGGCGGGCAGGGGTGGGGAGGAGAGGGAGGCAGGGGCGTGGGGGGGAGGCGGGCAGGGGCGTGGGGGGAGGCAGGGGCATGGGGGGAGGCGGGCAGGGGTGGGGAGGAGAGGGAGGCAGGGGCGTGGGGGGAGGCGGGCAGGGGTGGGGAGGAGAGGGAGGCAGGGGCGTGGGGGGAGGCGGGCAGGGGTGGGGAGGAGAGGGAGGCAGGGGCGTGGGGGGAGGAGGGCAGGGGTGGGGAGGAGGCTCACCCCCCGCCAGCACAGCAGCGGGTCCTGTCCAAAACTCTCTGGCTCTGACCCTGGCTCTGGCTCTGGCTCTGGCCCTGGCTCTGGCTCTGGGGGGTCTGCACACTGGACACTGCTACAGGACTCTGCAGGCCTGTGTGACCAAGAGGTGTCATCAGCCGGCCTGGGCCTGCGCTGAGAGGCACCCGCGGTGACAGCACAGGGCAGGCGGGCCGTCCTGCTCTGGAGTCAGGGCCCCATTGGAAACACAGGAGCCCCACGCATGGCCCAGGGGTTCCCGGAGCAGGGGGACACTGTCTGGGTGTCAGGTCCCCTCCACAGAGCCTCTTGAGCCCGTCGGCCCTCCTCTGTAGGAGCAGCAGGAGCCCAGCCTGTGCCCAGTCCCTGCCTGGCCCATGCCCAGCTGTGTCTGGTCTGTGCCCGGCCTGGGCGTCTGAAGGACCAAACTCCCCACATGGGGGCTTAGGTCTTACCCACGTGGGGGTGTGAGGCACAGGCTGGCCACGGCTGACCGGCATCCACACTGGAAGGTCCCGGATCCTGCGGAGGTTAAAGGTGGGGAAGTAAGACACGGTAGGGCTGGCAGGCCTGTGCTTCCCAGCCTCCACTGGAGTGGGAGGCGGTCAGCAAGCTGAAAGGGGAAAGGGGGCAGCTGGGCTGGTCAGAAGGGGCTGCAACCTGAGTGTCTCCACTGCCCAACGCAGCTCAGCCAGGGTGGGCAGGGGCGAGGGGCAGGGCAGGGCGAGGCACTGGGCAGACCCTGGCCTGCAGGACAGCCAAGGACGCCAGCCCAGTGCAAGCTGTGGTGGCATGAGTGGTCTTGGCTGCAATCTGCAATCTGGAGAGGGATCGAGAGCTCACCAACACTCATTTCTTAGCGGTATTTGCCAGTTTGCACACAGTTCACACACACGTACTGATCCACACAGGTACAGACTCATATATATGTACATGGACTCACACATACACACTGAATCATATGTATGCAGACTCACACACGGACTCACATACACTAACTCATGCACATGTATGCTGATTCACACACATGTACACTGACGTATGGATTCACACATGTAGATTCACACATGTACTGATTCACACATGTACACAAGCACACTGACATTCACAAATACATGCACTGATTCGCACACATGCAGATTCACACATACACTGACACATACACGGATTCACACATGCAGGCTCACATATATACACTGACTCACACCCACAGATTCAGATTCTCACATGTGTAGACTCATACACATACACAGACTCACAATCATACACTGATTCACCAGTATAGACACACATGTATTGACTCACACTGCACCAATTTACACAACGACATGTACACTGATTCACACATGCACTGATTTATACATGTAGTCCCATACAATGATACAATACACTGATTCACACATGTTCACGTGTATACTGATTCACACACATATATGGACACATGTGTACAGATTCACACATGTACACAATCCACAACACACTGACATACATGTACAGTGACACACGCACTGATTCACACAGTGCCTCACATATGTATACTGGCTCATACATGTATACTGTTTCACATACACATGCACTAGTTCACAGGAACACGGACACACACACTGATCATGCACATGAAGATTTGCACCCATGCCGACACGCATACATTCACACATACACATGCAGATTTACACGTGTATAGTGGCTCGAGCACGCACACCAGCTCGCACACACGCTGACTCACACCCACGTACAGCTATTCCAGGAGAGCCTACGTGAACGGTGCTAGCCTCCACCTTCACCCTCAGTGCACACAGAATAGGCTCAATGGCTCCAGGTGTGTTGGCCACCACCTTGTGAATGTCCGCCTCCGAGAGAGACAAGTGCAGCTTGTGAAAGACCTTCCTGCAAAGGGAGTGGGGCTGGCCGTCAGGGCAGTGCGCCCCCAGGGCCAGGCACGGGCCACAGGCTCAGGCCACAGCAGAGTACCTGCTTTCCTTGGAAGGAGAAGCTGACTGGACCCGGGGCTGTCCCTGCTGGCCTTCACCTCCCTGCCTTTGTTCTGAGCGGTCCACAGGGCTGACACTTCACGGTAGCCATGCCCTCTCCTCCCTTGGTCCGGACAGCTGCCCGCACTTCCGATGGCCCCTTCATGCCCACCCTCTGAAGTGCACGTTCTACAAGGCCTCCAGTACCTCTATGCCCACCCAGGTCTTGGTGTGGACTGGAGGCCGGGATCTGTAGCTCCTCGCTCCCTCCCAGGTGTCCCCCCACCTCTGATCGGGGTCACCTCGCCGAAACCTCCCTCCACCCCGGTCCTTCACTATCACCAAGCTGTGGCCTACACGAAGGCAGGATCTGTCTACTGGAGAGCCAGCAGAGGTGGGACCCAGACGACTTATTCTCTGGCGATGCCCGCAGGGGCATGACTGAGAGTAAGGCTCTGTGAGGGGGTCAGCACCCACACAGCTGGAAACTTGCCCCAGAGGGATGTGAAAGAGCCGTGGGCCAGGCCAGCCTCAGAGAACCAGCTTCGCTCAGCCCTTGCCTGTTGAGAAGGCTCCAATTGCTCAGCTTCTGATCCGTGCTGCAGGCGGGGACGTAGCTGTGCAGGTCCACAAGCCGGGGGTAGAAGTGCTTCACAATCTCAGCCACCAGCACTGCAGGGGGGCAGGGTGAGTGGACTACCTAGCTAGATCCCTCCAAAGCCCTGAGCACAAACCAGGGCCTGGGCTGTCCCAGGAGCCCATGAGGAGGCAGGGCTCCTAACAACCGACCGGGAAGATGAAGGATGTGTGGGTTAGAAAGTGCAAACCCAGGACGCAAGCCCAGGAAGGGGAGGGGGGAATGAAAGTCAGTCTCCAGGAAGTGAGAGCTGGACACAAGGGGCCATCCCTTCTTCCTCAGGAAGAGGGGACTGGCCTTCTGTCCACTCTTCTCCAGGGAGCACAAGCAGGGCTGGGAGGCAGCCTCCAGCCTCACCTGGGGGACAGGTCTGGGGACAGGACTGGGGACAGGTCTGGGGACAGCACTGGGGACAGCACTGGGGACAAGACTGGGGACAGGTCTGGGGACAGCACTGGGGACAGGTCTGGGGACAGCACTGGGGACAGGACTGGGGACAGCACTGGGGACAGCACTGGGGACAGGTCTGGGGACAGCACTGGGGACAGGTCTGGGGACAGGACTGGGGACAGCACTGGGGACAGCACTGGGGACAGGACTGGGGACAGGACTGGGGACAGCACTGGGGACAGGACTGGGGACAGGACTGGGGACAGCACTGGGGACAGGTCTGGGGACAGGACTGGGGACAGGACTGGGGACAGCACTGGGGACAGGTCTGGGGACAGCACTGGGGACAGGACTGGGGACAGCACTGGGGACAGGACTGGGGACAGCACTGGGGACAGCACTGGGGACAGGTCTGGGGACAGCACTGGGGACAGCACTGGGGACAGGACTGGGGACAGCACTGGGGACAGGACTGGGGACAGCACTGGGGACAGGTCTGGGGACAGCACTGGGGACAGGACTGGGGACAGGTCTGGGGACAGGACTGGGGACAGCACTGGGGACAGCACTGGGGACAGCACTGGGGACAGGACTGGGGACAGGTCTGGGGACAGCACTGGGGACAGGTCTGGGGACAGCACTGGGGACAGGACTGGGGACAGCACTGGGGACAGGACTGGGGACAGGACTGGGGACAGCACTGGGGACAGGTCTGGGGACAGCACTGGGGACAGCACTGGGGACAGGACTGGGGACAGCACTGGGGACAGCACTGGGGACAGGTCTGGGGACAGCACTGGGGACAGGTCTGGGGGCAGGACTGGGGACAGGACTGGGGACAGGTCTGGGGACAGGACTGGGGACAGCAATGGGGACAGGTCTGGGGACAGCACTGGGGACAGGACTGGGGACAGGACTGGGGACAGCACTGGGGACAGCACTGGGGACAGCACTGGGGACAGGTCTGGGGACAGCACTGGGGACAGCACTGGGGACAGCACTGGGGACAGGACTGGGGACAGCACTGGGGACAGGTCTGGGGACAGGTCTGGGGACAGCACTGGGGACAGGTCTGGGGACAGGACTGGGGACAGGTCTGGGGACAGCACTGGGGACAGCACTGGGGACAGCACTGGGGACAGGTCTGGGGACAGGACTGGGGACAGCACTGGGGACAGCACTGGGGACAGCACTGGGGACAGGTCTGGGGACAGGACTGGGGACAGCACTGGGGACAGGTCTGGGGACAGCACTGGGGACAGCACTGGGGACAGCACTGGGGACAGGTCTGGGGACAGGACTGGGGACAGGACTGGGGACAGCACTGGGGACAGGTCTGGGGACAGCACTGGGGACAGGTCTGGGGACAGGACTGGGGACAGGACTGGGGACAGCCTCCACCCTCCACCCGCAGCGCCACCCCTCCAGCTCCACCCTCGCCCCGCCCGCCCTCCCGCCCGCCCGCACCGCCATCGCTGAAGTCCCTGGCCAGGTGTCGCTTGGGGCGGCTGAGCGGGAGACCATCGAGCCACGCGCAGAGGCTGTGGAGGCTGCTGGGCGGGAGGGCGGCGGGGCTCTGACCCGCAGCTCCAGGCATGGCGGAGGTGCGGGGCTGTTGCTGGGAGACGAGACCGGAAGGGGCAGGCAGCGCTGGCTGAGCGCGGAAGGGGCGGGCCCGGGGCGGGGCGAGCGCTGGCTGAGCGCGGAAGGGGCGGGCCCGGGGCGGGGCGAGCGCTGGCTGAGCGCGGAAGGGGCGGAGCGAGCGCTGGCTGAGCGCGGAAGGGGCGGGCCCGGGGCGGGGCGAGCGCTGGCTGAGCGCGGAAGGGGCGGAGCGAGCGCTGGCTGAGCGCGGAAGGGGCGGGCCCGGGGCGGGGCGAGCGCTGGCTGAGCGCGGAAGGGGCGGGCCCGGGGCGGGGCGAGCGCTGGCTGAGCGCGGAAGGGGCGGGCAGCGCTGGCTGAGCGCGGAAGGGGCGGGCCCGGGGCGGGGCGAGCGCTGGCTGAGCGCGGAAGGGGCGGGCCCGGGGCGGGGCGAGCGCTGGCTGAGCGCGGAAGGGGCGGGGCGAGCTCTGGCTGAGCCGGAAGGGGCGGGCCCGGGGCGGGGCGAGCTCTGGCTGAGCCGGAAGGGGCGGGCCCGGGGCGGGGCGAGCGGAGCCGCGCTCCGGCGTCTGAGGTCGGGTCGGCGCGCTCGCTGGTGAAGCCCCCGCGGCGTGGGGCCCCGCGACCCTCGGCCCACAGGACCTGGCCGACACGCTCTCGGCCAGATGCAGACTCTTTATTAGGGAATAGCTTTCTGTCCCCGACAGCCGCTCCGCACGGCCGCACGCGGGGCCCTCATCCTCGCCCGGGAAAGACGGCTCTTCCCACGTCCCGGCCCCCGTGGGCGTGGATGCAGCCCCGCGTGGGCGTAGATCAGGCCCCGCGTGGGTGACGCAGCCCCGCGTGGGTGATGGAGCCCCGCGTGGGCGTAGATCAGGCCCCGCGTGGGTGACGCAGCCCCGCGTGGGTGATGGAGCCCCGCGTGGGCGTAGATCAGGCCCCGCGTGGGCGTAGATCAGGCCCCGCGTGGGTGATGGAGCCCCGCGTGGGTGACGGAGCCCCGCGTGGGCGTAGATCAGGCCCCGCGTGGGTGACGCAGCCCCGCGTGGGTGTAGATCAGGCCCCGCGTGGGTGACGGAGCTCCCGCGTGGGTGTAGATCATGCCCCGCGTGGGTATAGATCAGGCCCCGCGTGGGTGATGGAGCCCCGCGTGGGTGTAGATCAGGCCTCGCGCGTGGGTGACGGAGCCCCGCGTGGGCGTAGATCAGGCTCCACGTGGGTGATGGAGCTCCCGCGTGGGTGACGGAGCTCCCGCGTGGGTGTAGATCATGCCCCGCGTGGGTATAGATCAGGCCCCGCGCGGGTGCGGACTGCGTCCGGGGATCCGGGCAACGCTGCTCTGTGGCCGACGCCCTGCGTCCGGGCGGCGCACAGGCCCTGGGAGGGAGAGCCTGGTATCCTGGGCAGGCCCGGCCCCCAGGACGGCAGGAGCCTTTCCAGCGATTCTTGCCAAAAGCAGATGCTGCTGAGGTCCAGCCTCAGTCCTGAGCTAAGAGAGGCTGACTGGAAGAGCCGTCCGCGGGAGCCCTGGCTTCAAACTTGCTCGGGCCAGCAGGCGCACTCAGGGTCACCTCCTCTGCACAGGAGGCTGCAGCGCCACCTTTGGGCCATGGGCCGCCTCCTAGGAGGAAAAGAGAGTGGGTACTTAAAAAACCTTGTGCCCCAGAAGGCACAACTGAACACCCTGTTTGCACTCCTTAAAACTTGGTTTCTTAGCTTGTCCAACAACACAACGTGGCACCCGCAGGGGCTCAGTAATAACAGCTACAACTGTACAGAGGCTGCTGCAACGGCGGCAATTGCCAAAAGTTTCCTTACACATTACAGCAGACATTTAAGTGACAACTTCCCATTTCCTTTTCAGGTAATCATCAATGTAAAGAATACCCCTCTCCCACGGGCGAGCTCCCCCCCAGGTGGGGCGGGCTCCCCCGAGGTGGGGCGGGCTCCCCCCCAGGTGGGGCGGGGCAGCTCTCTGCTACGCTCCCCCCAGCTGTGGACCTGCCCTGGAGGCTCACCTGAGGCACTCTGGGAGTGGGCCCTCCAACCTTGGGTTTGGCTGGTGGCGCTGGAGGCACAGGAGCTAGCTTGGCCTAGGAGGAGACCGACACAGCTGGTGGAGTTGGCTGCCTCAGCGGGCCAGGCTGTCCCCTGCAGGGGTGCCTGTGGGCCTCTGAACACTCTGACAAGCATTTCCCTCTGGCACAGTCTGGCCACCAGCTCTGCTCAGCCTTCCTCCTTGCCTGGTCTCTCTCTCCCCACTTTCCTCTGTTCTGCCTTCAGGACTCCTCCTAGGATGATTTTTGCAACTATGTAAAGTCTAGAATTAGTTCAAAATAAAAACTTTTAAACAATAGAAAATCAGGGGCTTGGGCTGGGAAGGTGGCTCCGTGGTAGAGCACTTGCCTTGCATGCATGAAGCCCTGGGTTCGATTCCTCAACACCACATAAATAGAAAAAGCTGGAAGTGGCGCTGTGGCTCAAGTGGTAGAGCGCTAGCTTTGAGCTGAAGAGCTGAGGGACAGGGCCCAGGCCCAGAGTTCAGGCCCCACAACCAACAAAAAAAGAAAGAAAATCAGGGGCTGGGAATGTGGCTCTGTGGTAGAGTGCTTGCCTAGCATGTGTAAAGCCCTGAGTTCAAGCCCTTAGTACCACATAAGCAGAAAAAGCCAGAGGTGGTGCAGTGTCTCAAGTGGTAGAGGGCTAGCTTTGAGCAAAAGAAGCTCAGGGACCACGCCTAGATCCTGAGTTCAAGCCCCAGGACTGGCAAAAAAAAAAAAAGAAAGAAAGAAAGAAAATCACTATTGTGCAAACAAACACTACAGTAACAATTGTGGGGCAAATTCACTGAGGATATTACTACTGTTATGTCAAAGTTCAAAGAGAGGAAAAGCCTAGAAAGCAGCACATGCCTCCTGGTATAGTTCATTCATTCACAACAAAGCTTACTGGGAGCAGCCAGACACCATCACATCATCATGTGTCACCACGGGTCATCTCTGTGTAAGGCACAAGGCCCCCACTGGCCCCAGGGCTACCTCTTCCTTCCCCAGGTACACATCTGGGAAAGCCTTCATCCACTCCAACCAAATATCTTGCATTGAGGATGGCAGTGTGGTGCTAGGGTTAGCCCAGGGGCAGGGAGCCCTGCTGGAGGGGAATTCAACCCCAGCCTGATTTGCATGGCTCGGATAAGTCATTTTTTAAAGAGCTTTCAATTTCCAAAGCCACTTCACAAGGGAAGTATCAGGGTGGCTGGCTTATATTGGTGAGGCTGGCTGGTCTCTGGGCTGAGAGATGGCGGGTGTCATCTTACCTGCGTGGGCTTCAGCTTTGGGAGGGGCTTGGCAGGTGGAGGCAGCTGGAGCTGGTAGGGAGGAAGTGGGGAGTTTGAACCCACAGACCAGCCTGCCCATGGCCGAAGCTTGCCAAATCTGTTAGGTTCTGCTCATGTCTTGCCCTCCCTGTAAAGCAGCCGCTTTGCTGGCCTGGGTCTGCAGATTCTGGCCAACTGGCCCCCATTTCCCAAAATGTTTGCATACCTCCAGAACGCTTAGCCCCCCCTCCAGGGCTCACCTGGTCTGGTGTCTGCTGGGGATAGACAGGGACTGCGGCGGCTGGACTGGACATAGCGGCGGGAGGCTGCAGGGGACAGGGCTGTGGGTTTGGATCTAGGAGCAGGGCTGCGCGCACCCCATCCAGAAAGCCTCTCCACACCAGGACCCAGGTTTCACGCCTCTCAGAGAGGAAGGAAGCAAAGTCCCCGTGGGGGGGACCATGCCTGAGCTCCCCATGTGCCATCTGTCCCCATCCCAACCATCAGGAGCAGCAAGGGTCCTTCTTCTCAGAACCCAAGGCTGAGAACCCCCAGACCTGCCAGGTCAAAGATCTCAGAGCTCTGAGGTCAAAGACAGACTCCCAGTGCAGGTCCTCGGAAGGCAACCCCTAGCACCCAGGCTGCTTCTCCAGGGGTGACGGCCTGTGCACCGGCTGTGACAGGGCTTCACCCACCCCAGGCACACTCTGGGCAGGAGGGTGAGGGACCTGCAGGTCCCATTACTGCAGCTCACCGCAGGTGGGGGCCTCTTGGGGACCAGCGTGGGCTTGGGGGGCTGCCTGCTGCAGGTGGAAGCCAGCCCTGGGGGCCCTCGAACACGTTCCTTGGCTGGCATGCCACTGCTTCTTCCATAGAACAGAGGGTTGGGGAGTCCCGTGGCCTCAGGTATAACACCCCTGGAAGGAAAAAAGAGGCCATTGTCAGGCTGGAGGGATGATTCACATGGGAGAACACCTGCCTAGCAAATATGAGGCCCTCAGTTCAAACCCCAGCACCACCACCACCACGAAAAGAAGACAACTACCTAGCCATGTTCCTGGACAGGCTTTGGGGCTCCTAAACTCGGCCCCTGTGGAGCCTAGCTAGGGTTTCTGATCTGCAGACCGCATACAGGCTGCAAGGAATGGTCACGGATAGGCAGGTCCAGCAGGCCAGGAGCACACACGGGCCTGGTTGGGGCTGAAAGAGTCCAAGCTCACCTCTGGATTTACTACGGCCTATCACCCTTCCCTCAAGTAGACTCCCGAGCCCAGTGGATCCCAGAAACCTCCTCACCATCCAGCCCAGGCCCTAGGCCTGGGGAACCCTGGGTTCTGCCTGGGCCTGGCCCTTCTGCAAGACACAGTGATTTTTCTTTTTCATCCTCGAACAACAGAGGAAGCCATTTCCTAACAGTTGCAGAAGTTACACCAACACAGGAAATGCGCGTCTGGGGGCAGACATATCACAACAAGCATGTCCTCACCTCCTCCGGACCTTGTGGTGGATGATGACACCTGCCAGGGCGACCACCGCGGCCAGCAGCACCAGGGCCACCAGCCCCCGGAGCGGAGGGCTCCCAGGGCCTAGGAGACACAGCCTCACGTCAGCCAGGCCAGGGTGGAGGGCCCGGGAAAGGACGGCCTTTCTGCCCTCTCAGCCATGTTCTGAGCCCACGCCTGGCC